GAGCCGCCGGGGACAGGGAGGCTCGGAGGCCGCTGCAGACTCACTTCTTCCCCTCCTGGGCTTGCCGCTGCGCCTCCTGGAGCCCGTCCACGGCCTGGTGAAAGTCGAACACTGGGGGAGGGGGGCGGCGTCAGGCCTGCCGTGGCGCCCAGTCCAGTCTGGACGGGGCTGCCTGGAACTAGCCCTGCGGTGCCCTTCCCCGCTCCCCCTCTGCCCCCGGGCCAGCAAGCCCGTCCCAGGGCCGGCCTGGGGCTGACAGGGCCCCGCAGGGTCCCTCGCGCCGGGACACTCACCGAGGTGGGCGCGGTCGGAGATGACCAGCCTCTTCTCCCAGTCCTTCAGACCTGCAAGACACGGGTCACCTGGGAGAACAGCTGCCCGCCCCCCGCCGCCTGGGTCCAGCGGGGCCTGTCTCCCAGAGAGCCTGTCCAGCGCCCCGGTCCAAGCCCTGGCTCCCTTTACAGGCCCTCTGGGGGTCCCTAGGGGCACCCCTGTCTCCCATGGCTGAGCTATCCCCTGTCCACTTCCAGCCTGCAACCACAGGCCCCACCCCTGGGGTGCCCAGGAGCCACTCCTAGGGACGGTGCTGGCTGGACTCTGGGGCGCCTCCCCCGGAGCCATTAAGCCCCTCCTAGGTGAGCCACCCGGGACCGGCCTGCCGAGAAGGCCCAGGCAGCAGGGGGAGGAGGAGGGGCGCTTGCCTCTGAGGGGCCTGGGACCCACCTTTCTTCTCGTTCTTCTCCGCCTCTTCAAACAAGCCCGGCAAGTGCACCACCACCCCATTGCCTGCAACGCAAGAGCGGGGCTGAGCAGGTAGGGCCTCACGCGGGGCCTGGGGCGGGGCGGCGTCCGCCTGGCAGGGTAGGGGCAGCCGGTCGTGGCTGTCCGTTCATCCGTGTATGGCCACACGGCCACCCTGACATCCCTGTGAGGCAGCGAACCTGAGAGCACCCGCTGGACTCGGGCTGAAGGGGCCAGGTCACAGCAGGGTGGGGGCCAGCTGGGGTGCAGGCTGCGGCCGGAGGGGGCTTCAGCGCCCCCATCTGTGCTCTGAGACATGGTTAAAGTGTGAATTTAACGCGTGTGTACTTATCACATGAAAAATGGTCAAAATGAAAGTTGCAGCTAGTCTCGGCTGAGCAGATAGGCTGGGGGTGTCCGGGCCGCTGGGAACTTTCTGGGGAGGTTCTGACTGCCAGTCGGTGATGAGGGTCACGGTCCTGCAGCGTCCTGGGTCCAGAAGCCCGTGGAAGCGCCTCGCCTCCGTGAATGGCACACAGGCAGGCGTCAGGGAAAGGAGGCTCCCCTCAGCCCTGGAGCCCCAACAGACAGGCGCCAAGACGGCCCCTGGCAGAGGGAGCAGACCGGTGCAGTGGCTCAAGCAGCCGACACCACGCTGGAGGTCGCCCTGGAACACACCTAAGTGCCCCCGTGTCCGGCGCCACCACGTGGAGGGGCCTGCGCAGGTTTGGGGCGCCGCTGGCGGAGCTCAGCCCAGCCCACCGCGCACGCTCCCTGCTACCACGCGGGGCTCCGGCTGCCGCCTGACCACTGAGGTGCCGTCTTGGCCGGTTTCCAGACACCCTGGGCCCTGCCTGTGCCCAGGCACTGCGGGAGCAGCGCAGGACAGTGGGGGCCTGGGGAGGGGAGCCAGGGCCCGGGGTGAGCGCCGGACTCCGAGGGAGCGGCCGAGGGCAGGGCAGGGCAGCCCTGGGCTTCCACAGAGACGAAGGGGCTGGCAGGGACACGCTGATGGAGGGAGATGAGATGGCGGACGGCCTCTGAGGACACCGAGGGTGCCGGGAACGCCGGCGAGG